AAGACAAATTTTGAATTATAATGGGGTTTTTTAGAGGGTGTCTAATTAAGGGCTGTTTGTTGTACCTCAGAATATTAGGAGATTTTTTAAACGCAAAAACAGGTCGATTTTTATTTCAAATAAGGGAACATCGGAACACCTTTCCATCAGGTAGGTATCTATCTAATTCTATGGGGAATTCACCAATATTGACAATAGTAGTAATTTTTTTGGATTTGAAAAGCTTTTGAAACCACATTGATCAATATTGATTAAAAAATTGGAATCTATAGGAATCAAGGTGACTTACTTATTCTGTATTTCGGAGGTAAACTGCACAATATGATGACAATTACATAATGCAAATTAAAAAATAGGAAGTTTTATTAGATTGGTAAACCATATACATAAATATTCTGACAATAATAATTGAGTCTCAACTGTATTTCTTGTCGAAATATAATAATTAATATATGTAACTATGGAACACAAAAAGTGTCCAAACATCATTCAATCTGCTCAACTGAAGAGTTGACTCGAATTACATAGTGCAGTTTTCTGAGGTACTGTATTTTGGGATGGCTAAAACATACTTAAATGATCAACAACAAATTACAAGTGGATAAAGTCATCTCAAATCTTATTAGGTCGAAATATGCTAAGGAACCATACTGCTAGACCCCTGACTTTCCTTTATAATTTACATCAATAACTATGACTCCCACGTGATTTTATCAACTTGTTTGGAGATCGATATACTAGTTGTCTGTATTGCATAAAAACTTGAATATTGCAATAACTATGATGAATTCGTCCCTAAATCAACTTTAAATCTATTTCAACATTAATAAATAAAAATTAAACAAAACAAAAACCAAAGCTATGATCTTATAACAAATAACTAGATTTTAAAACTATACAGCTTTGAATATTATAATGATGAAAAAATTGAATTTGTGGGCAATTTCAAATATCTTGGGTCTATGTTAAACAGCAGTCATCCTTTACTCTATTGTTTAGGTCAGAATAGATTACTAGCATTTCAAAAGTTGCAAAACCGTGCTATGAGAGTTGTCTTAAAATACAATTGATATACACAAGTATATAATTTTTGTTTAATGCATTTTGGTGATTTTACATAAGTGATATAGACTGTATAGGGCAGCAACAATGTTTTTAAAAATTCAAAAAATTACTTCCATCCTATTTTAATGAATTTATTGTTTACTGAGGAACTTCACATGCCTAACACTATAGGCAGTCTGACAATTTTAATTTGCCAAGATGTAAAATTTATCCAGGTCAATGAAAATATTGCTGTACAAGAAATACTTATAACAAATTACCAACAAGTATATCAATTTAACAAACAATTAACAATATATTAAAAATAAATGATCAAAAATACTTACTTAAGAGGAAAATTTACATTACAACTTGATGGTGGAGCCTAAATACTACAAACTTACTTCCGAGACTAAACAAAATACGCATTCATTCATAATTTTAACAATTGCATGTAGATACGAGGGATACATATTCTAAACTCTAACGCGCGAAGTTGAAACAAAGGAACCGAAAAATCCTACCACGGCTGCCGACGTTCATCAGTTATTGAGTGAGTCAGAATGACCTAAATTAGGGAAACCAGAATCGTATTTGTTTTTCTTGCTGTATTGTGAGATATTGTTATAACGCAGTTTGATTTATTAGACGGTTTTACATTATTTTTATATTTTAATTTAGTGAATAGCTTTAGTTAGATTAAATTACATTTAGAAGCATAGAGTTGTGAAAGATGGGCAAAATAAAACCAATATACAAATAACGAAAAAATAGACGATTGTTTCGAATAAGGTAATATCAATTAATACAGAGTACTTATTAATTGAGTGCCGATACAACAAAATATCAAAAGCAGTTTCAATAAACTTAAAAAAAATGTTTTGGTTTTTATTTTCTTACGCGAAAAGGTTGCGTCGTACGAAAGTACATCTATAAACCAAATTTGCTCCAAAATAAATAAGGATTTTAAAGATAATTTTGGTTTTTAGAAAAAGCAGTGCCGTACCTTATTTTTCTTCAAAAATATTCAGTTCAAACCCGGTACGGACGTCACTGGTAAAAATTTTAAAATACTTTTACGACAAAAAGGTGGGATTAAAAGTTAAAGTTTAGTCCGTTGGTACATAATATACTATATTTATATATCTAATTTTTATTATTACACTGTATGTGACATGGCTTTTTTGTTTACCTTTTTTGGATTAACAAAATATTATTTTAATGATTTAAAATAAGCTGCCGGTAATAATAATAATTATCTGTACCTAAACATATACAAAGTGAAATCATAAAACGACGCATCAAGAAAGCACCAAATTATTAAACTATTTTAATCTACGTAACAAGTATTAAAAGTAATTTTAAAAAACCAACTTCAAAATCGTGCAGATGGCATCACCACATCTTAACCAAATTTATATGGGACCACCCCTGAGGTATCCCCTTACTAACAAAAAAAAAGAGTCATAGAAATCGGACAAGGTGGTAAAGAAGTATCGCTAAACATACATAAAAAATGAAGAGTTTGAGGATTTTCTCATGGACCTAATTATTAGATTTTGACCAAATATGGGACCACCCCTAAAGTACCCCCTTTCCAGCAAAAAAAGAATCCTTGAAATCGGACACCGTGTTAAAGAATTATCGCTGAATATACATAAAAAATATATTACGACAAATTGAGAACCTTCTTCTTTTTTGAAGTCGGTTAAAAAAGGATATAATAAACTATATTAATTGTATTAACTAAAAACTACTATATGGGATTATATTCATTTTTTAAATTAATTTTATATGTAAAAATGTGGGTTCGGTTTCTAGAAGAGCACCTAGTTCACTGCGCAGCCAAATTTATATTTATGGTACAGAATTTTTTAAATAAATAAAGTTTTAGGTTTAATTAAACATCAAGTTTTATCAGAAATGATATTTTCTGAAAAAAGTAAGAAGAAAAAGTTTTCCATGTAAAAAAGCAGACTGTTTGCGAGTCACTATATATATATTTTTGAGGGCAATCCCTATATTGGAAAAATAAATAAAATTTTGGTATAATCACAAAAATGTGATTTATATTTTAGAATATTGTATATGTTTATTTAAGTTTACTATTTTTTATAAAAAAAGAATTGTATTCTTCAAAATATTTCTTAAATTTTTTAACAGGTACAAAATAGCTTAATCCGTTTATACTTATCGATTTTAAACAGCGAAGTTAATAAAGAATTGTAACTCGATTAAAAAACGTTTCTTCTCTTTTCATTTTCTAAAAAAAACTAATAGACCTTTTTGAAATCGGTTTTCGGTGACTTTTCTTCTGATTTATTGTCTTGAAAATGATATGATTTACATAAAAAACAAAAACTGACCTATTATTTTTTTTAAATAAAGATATGTTGTTATTTTCATAATTTTCGACTGTTCTCTGTTTCCAAAATCGAAAAAGAAATTCCGTAACGAAAATAAACCTAACAGCCCCCACTCCGATCGGCACAGCGGTGCGGCGTTGAAAGCCGTGCATCATCTAACGTCGTTTCAGTTCGGCAGACTTCGGCATGGTTTGTCTGCGTGCGACTAGACGTATGCCTGTAGACTAGCTGCTAACTGCTCATAACTGATTCTATCTGTTTTAGACACAATTTCGGAAAAATTGAAATTGAAAATGAATAATGATCCACAAGAATCCACAACAAAATATGGGACCACCATTGACGCGGTATTTTCCAGATATTTAGAGGATATCAAGTCTCAAACTTATGTTTCTTATTTCAGTTACCATAAACCTACATTTATTGTAAGATAATAAAAATATTTTAAACAATATTAACTTCTCATTTATTCAATAAAAGAAAAAAAAATTGTTTTCTTATCGGTCACCACGCTCAAAAAATGTAACTCGAATTAATATCAAAAAAAAAATTTCATAAATAAATAATTATAATTGCATAAGTTGATAAAAAATGCTATGCAATAGCTTTACTGCGGCAGTCCCAGAGTGCCACACGTATTTTTTTTAAACTTTAAGATACACACCCCACAAAAATTATCGCATCACAAATAGTTTTCAAAAATTTTGAGTTTTTTTTTTAACCGTTTGATTGATTTGGATATTCTTTTTTTGGAAGATAAGTTGATTCTTCAGGAATAGTAATCTCTTTGATTCTTTAAATAAAATTTAATTTTAGAGTGTATACCGGATGTTGTAATAATATAGGTTTTTGGTTGGAAAATTTGTAACACCCTGTGGAGTGTAGCAGCAATAATATATAGCATGTTATAATTAATAGCCTACTATAGCCTCACTTTTCGCAAAATGTTATTTTTTTGATTGTTTTATTATCTCTGTTATTAGAGTCTTTTAGCACTGCCTGTTTTATAAACATACATTGCAAACATTTTAGTGATGCGATAATTTTTGTGGGGTGTATATTTTGAAATACAGCTGCAAACATCCCTTAATCCTACATGTGTACAGTAAATAATGACAAATGAGTTAATACTATCTGGAAGGTGGGGGAGAGTGGGTTGCCCCATATCATTTACACCTTACTAGGACCATTGTGCATCCTCTAGTCATAAATGATATACACCTCAGCTCATAAAAGTCCCGAAGGCCAATAATACCACCGAGAAGTGTTTCTAAATGACCCCATTTTTAAAAGTGTCCATTTGGTGGGCTTCTACCATACCCATGGTAAGGGGCAAAAATTAATACTAATTTCAGAATGTATCATTATACAAAAAAATTATTGTTCTAAAGTATATGTCCTTTTTGTTTGAGAGTGCATTTGTGTTTTGGATGCATTAAAGTTCAGAGTTGGAAATAATCTTATTAAGAACTGGATGAAATAGTTTCAATTATGGTTATTGTCAAAAGCTAGGTCAGTTGTGGATCTATGTTGATGAAAACCATATTGCCATATTTATTATAATACAATGTTTTTAAAAGAAACAAAATATAACAATAATTACACTTTAATGACAATTTTTTACAAAAATGATTGAAATTTGTAGTAAATAAAAATTCTTAGTCACTGTGAGATAATCAGCATCACATTTTGGACCAATACAAACTTATAAATAGAAAAATATCTAGAATATAAATGAGTTATATCTCATTTTGCAACTCCAACTAGTGCTGGCCTAACAACCCTCTCATGGAGTTTGTAACCAATTTTTGAAACAATAACAACAGTACCAGATTCTTTATCTTTTACGTCCTAAAACAAAACAAAAATCAGTATTTTAAATATCTTGTAAAATGGTCAGTACCTACCTGTGTAAAAAGGGCTTCATGAAAATTTGGATTAAACTTTTCATCAATTGGATTGACTTGTTCCAATCCGTGCCTTTTAAAAACACTCATAAGTTGTGCTTCGGTCATTGTCAGACCTTCATACAAACTTTTCAGATGTGAGTTCTTGTTTAATTCTTCTTTGGGTACAGTTTCAGTGGCTTTGTTCAACACATCTGCTACGTCTAACAAATCTTTGCAAAAACTTTGAATGCCGTAAATTTTAGCTTCTGATATTTGTTTTGTTAGTCTATTCCTGAGATTTTCTCCATCTGCTAGCGCCCTTTTGTATTTATCCAAGAGTTCATCTTTTTGACTAGCTAATTCGATAATTTGTTTATTCAAGCTTTCTATTTCTGGATTAATTTCGGATTTTCCAGCGTCTGTGTCGGGTTTCTTTTCACTCGGTGCGACGGTATTATTTCTATTCGACGAGACTACTATACTCCTGTAAACATTTATCACAAATTGCGCAATTGTAGTTAGGAAAATCGAAGTTTATTTCAGTGAAACTTACCTGGAATTGAATATTATGGAATCTGCTAATGAGTGTCCGCACTTTAAAAAATTTCTCACGCTAATTAAAGCCATTATTTTAGACAAAATTTAATAAAACTCGTCTTTTTAACTTATTGAGGTTATACTCGAAAAATTTGCATTGATAAATATGACAATTTTGACAAATGGCAGATTTAACAATATTCTTTTTTTTTAATCACTAGTTTGTGCAGTTTTACAGCTAGCAGTTATTTATACAAAGTTTTCGTATTTTTACTTTTTTACGGATATGATGAGTATCATTTTCATCTAAAAAAATTGTTATTCGATTTTTTAAAATTAAATATTAAAATGGTGCTTTTGTGAATGCATTTTACATTGTAGTTGATGGTTGAATTACTCAATTCAGTGAAGATCTACAATGACATTTTGTGGCCTTTACCGCTTTGCCTTTATTTTTACAAGGCCATTAAAATTTTAACACGTGTGAGGAAAGTGGTGAAAAATACGGAAAGGCTACCCCACAATTTTTTAGGGTTGAATGGTTTGAATAATGTTTCAAAAATGGAAAATGAAAAGGGTATAAAGCGGTGTACAAACGATGAAAGTACAACGATTTGTGATATTCCTAATAAGAAGTTAAATGATAATACCAGTCAAGATTCAGAAGATACTCAAAATGAGGTAAAATATTTCAACGGCGTTGAAATTTCTAAATTAAGCAAAAAGCAAAGGAAGAAATACCAGAAATGTCTAAAATGGGATGAAGTTAAAAAAGAAAAACGTGCAAAAGAGCGCTTAAAAACGAAAGAGAAAAGGATACATGCTAAATTAAATAACATAGATCTAGGGCCAAGTAGAAAGGAATTAAAGCGTGTAAAGATGAAAGACAGTCCTTGTAAGATTAACATATGTATAGATTTAAGTTTTGACGAACTTATGATAGACAAAGATATGGCAAAAACTATTAAACAAGTGTTAAGAATATATACAGTAAATAGAAGAGCTAAAGCACCTTTGCAGTTACATTTAAGCAGCTTTAAGGGCCGCAGTGAAAAGGAATTCAACAGACACCATGGTTTTGAACATTGGGATATAAATTTCCACAGTGACGATTATATAAATGTATTTCCAAAAGAAAACTTGGTGTATTTGAGTAGTGAAAGTGAAAATGTTTTGAATGTTTTAGAAGAAAATAAAGTTTATATTATCGGAGGCTTAGTAGACCACAATTCTCATAAAGGAATTTGTTACAATAAGGCTGTTGAACAAGGTATATCACATGCAAAATTGCCACTGGAGGAATATTTTTGGATGCGACAGAGGAAAGTTTTAACTATCAACCATGTTTTTGAAATCCTCCTTTTTGTCAGCGAAGGCAGCAGCTTTAAGGAGGCGTTTGAAAAAGTTTTACCCCAAAGGATTGACAAAGTAGCAACAAATAAGGCAGAACTGGAAGAAAGTCCTAAAGTTGAAACTGACACTTGTTAATTGTTAACATTATTCTATACAATGAATTTATTATAAATAAATATTTTAAACAGCACATTATTTATGTTATTGGAAATTTTCAATTTATTTAATTTAAAAAGATTATCTGTATGCCTTAACTGTCTAGACCTCTTACTTACGGGCAAGTGGGTAAGAGGCCATACAATTTTAAAAAGGTCGATGTTGCCATATCTTATCTTATAACGGAAGATCTTTCGTTTTCGCTCTTTTCTCTTTACTTTGAAATTTTCGTTTTTATACGAACTTATGAGGTTTTTCTGTAATCGGCAAACTTGTTTTACTTAGTTAATTGCTGCTTATTACTTTATGGCTTTTTCAATTTATTTATTCATCCAGTTAAGAGATCTACTGTATTTTCTCAAATCTGCTATTGAAAATAATTTCCACTTGGCAACAATCACAAAAAAGAGAATGTCACCGTCAATTTTGACGTTTAATGTATGTTCCTGGGCCCAGGGCCGTGGGTTATTTAATTTGTTTACTTAATAATGAAGTGATTAATTAAACATAATGAATGAAATAATCTGTTTTTCTAGTACTTATTCCAGCAGTAATTCATAGTCAACCCAAAAAATACTTTAACATAAAAAAATGTTGGATTCATCACCCGAAGACGAAGATTTCCCAGGAAGACTTTTACATCAGGTATTTCATAATTATTGAGAAATTTTTCACGCTTAGAGGAGCGTTAATGACTTTCTTTATTACAATAATGTTACTAATTAGATAAATTAATATTACAGTCCGCTTTGTGGGATAATACCGAACTGTTGGAAGATTTATTGGCAGGGGGCCAACAGAATTTTATAAATTCTCGAGACAGTTGGGGAAGGACTCCCCTGCACGCGGCGGCTATCACAGACAACTCGCAGTGTTTGCAATTTCTTTTGAATTCGGGCGCAGATCCGAACATACAGTGTGGTCCTAGGGGACAAAATAAGGTGCTGAATTACCGAAGATTTCTCAGAATACATTGCTAAATAGATGTTCATTTTTTTAGACGCCACTACACTTGGTTGCAGAACATGGGCATGCAAAAAATATTTTAACTTTGTTAGAGCATGATGTAGATCTAACTTTGCGTGATACGAATGGGATGACAGCCATTGATTTGGCTGAGAAAAATGGACATTTAAAATGTGTTATGGTCCTTAAAGAAGCAGCTGGTAAGTAGTTTTTTTATCCTTGTATTTTTTTCAGATATAGTTAAATAAATAGGTACTAAATACAGATATTTTGTAATCTATTTCATTTCGTATTATTAAATCATCTTTTTATGTTATAAACATAGTTTTACAAATTAGTAACAAAGTTGTTTCTGGATTTTACATATTGTTTAGATGAGTAAATTGGTTAATCATTAATCTGCACTTTAAAATTATTTTTATTGATTTAACATTTTTTTAAATGAGTGAATGGTTAGTCATTAAATTGCACTTTTAAATTATTCTTATTTATAAGTACTATGCTTTGATAGGTCTTTTATTATTATTAATTGTATGCAGAAACCAAATTTCCATTTACCTATAAATGGAGAATTCCTTTCATAATACAAATTCTGCCCATCAAATTTTTAAAATATTTAATGGTTGCTTAATAATATAATATAACTAAAGCCAGTCCCATGCACAGCACAATTAGTGCTGGGTGATATATGAATAACCGGTGATTAACCTCAGAGATTTGAAAATCCCTGCGGTTGTGACTTATCAATATTCCACTTGAACTGGTTACTTGATAATATACCGATATTTTAAACACAAATATTTTTTGACAAACAAATCACATAACAGAATTAGATGCGATACAGCTCTTGTTCTTGACCATCTTATTAGAGAGGTTAGTGAAAAGCTATTGCAAATAAATAAACATTAATATGCCGTAATAAGTATAAATATGTGTTAAAAATCCGAGGTACATATTTCGAATCACTGGTGACTAAAATACCTGTTTAATTTGTTAATAAAGAAATACAAAACGGCATACCTAGAGTTCAAGACTATGTGGGTCTTACAAATAACAAATTTTATAATGTCACTGAAGAATAATTAGGTACTTAGTTATAATATAATACTACACAAAATTAATACATATACAATAATTAAATATCTAATATCATACACTTTAAACCTGAAAATGTCAACTAAGAAGAGTCAATTAAGAACGTTTCACGGCTCCCTCAAAAATAATCGTATTTCCCAACACTAATCACAATGATAATGGCCATTATGATAATGGCCATTTACATTCACTAGTTGTGTGGACAGTCCCTTCAAAATTCGATATTATTTGGCAAAATCTTTGCTTTAGATGGACTTTAGTATCATAATGGTTTACAAATAAATAAAAATTAGTACATTAAAAAAAATAATGAATTTAATTTGAATTAGGTATATTTCAAAACAAGATAATCTTGTAGAAAGACGTCGGTAAAACAGACACATTTACAATGCCTATCTAAATATAATTTTTATACTGAACATCCATTAGGTTCTTGTTAATTAATTACTTAAACAAAAAATTATAATTTAAAGTATTATTAAACGACTGTGAGGACAAAGAGGCCAACAAACACATTTAGCACCAGATTAAAAATACAATTTTTTGTAAGATGATTCATTATATCATTATCAACCAAAAAATTATGAATCATTAAAATATCAAAGACCTCTAAATATAGTTTTTGTGTCTTTAAAGTCACGCGTTTCTGCGAATAAACATTATTGTATCAAAATAGCAAAAACAAATATTTAAAAAAGATATTAAATAATTAAATAGCAAGACCTCTAAATATGTTTTTGATGATATTATAATTGCACAGTTGCGCATATAAATTTTATTCTATTAAAATAGCAAAAAGCAATACAAGGTTCCAACAACAATTTTTATGCCAATGACTCATATTATAAAATAGTAGTTTGTAAATTTGTTGGAGCAAGAGTGGATATAATGGCCATATCACATGAAGCCGAAGCTTGAGCACGACGCCATAGGCGGAGTGCTCAGTCGTTTGAGTGCGATACAGATAATCCACTCGAGTTGTATAGTATATTTTTTCTACGATCCAATAACTAAAATTTACAAATTTTAAGTTTTTAAGATAAAATAACTAATTTAAAAACAATTTATGACTTTTTCTGATTTATAAAATAAAAAAATAGATTTAATTTAATTAGTCTATCTTATACATTTAAATTTATTTCATATAATTTTATTAAAATTTATTTATTTGTAAATATAGACGAAATAAAAATAGAAAAGCTATTATTTATTGATTCTACACAAGAATAGCAAGTATATTCAATCTCAATAACTAACAAATATACTGACAACGACTGACAATTAGACATAATTTAAAAAAATAGTAGTAGGTGGGTGACCAAAATATGAACTGTGATTGGTGGATTTCATATTTGTGCAGTGTTCTTACTAGGTAGAATGGATATGGAATATATTTGTTCAGTTGAATGAAATGGCATATTTTTTCGTTTTGTTGTCTGTGTAGAATAGCTAATATCCATGTGGGTGTAGAAAAATATATTCCAAGATACGCATCATTATACAATGGCATTACTGTATCAAAATAACAAAAATCAATATTTAGCACGAAATTCCAAATACAATTTTTCGTACGAATGATTTAATACGTTAGTACCTATCAATCAAAAAAATAAATCATTAAAAAGCAAGACTTTTTATCAAAATGGCAAAATTCAATGTTTAGCATGAGATTCCAAATACAATTTTTATGGAATGTTTATATATTTTTTATATATTTCATCTATGTAAAACATAATAGAAATAATGTCTTCTAACTTGAAGTTAAAAGCTTAGAAGACAAGTTAAACTTCTAATTCCAGGAAATTTTACAGAAAAAGTATGATAATACAATGGTCTCAATTAATATCGAAGGTAAAAGTAAGAACTTTTAATTAAATACTTAATACCGGACAGTGTTGTCAACTATTTTTTTAAGAGATCGTACAAGTAGAATAGAAAAATTGTATATTAGCCAATTTTTCGACAAAAAAAATCGTACAATAGATATACGTATAGCATAATACCTATAACTTAAACGGAACGAAAAAATAAAAAACGTTGGCATGATACTTTATTTATCTGTTATTTTTAACATTTTTATACAACGAAAAAAAAAAACTAAAGAAAATACATGAAACTTTAAATAAACACATTTAAACTAATCAATTACATACTATCACTGTCACATGAAAGTGATTGAAATTTTGCATACAAGCTTTAGTTGTGCCATGATAGCCGGTGTTGATACAAAATAATCACGTTAAGTAGAACGAAAATTACGAACGGCGTATCAATCTTTGCAAGTAGTTTTTGATTTTTATTGTTTTATGTTTTGAATTAATTTAGTTGTTGCAGATATTTAGATGAACCTACTAAAAAAAGAAAACATCGCATTTTTACGTACGATCTCACTGATGCGATGGTACATCGTAGAGAGAGATAAAAAATCGTATAAATACGAATTAAATCGTACGGTTGGCAACACTGAATACCTGGAAACAGACTGCTCATAATACATTACTACCGGTTACGTAAGTAGCAAACGATCATTGGTGTCTCCATCTATGAACGCGGGACGAACTGTTAGATCTGCCAGGTCTGTGATGTAAAGACTAAAAATAGCCATCTTAAATATGTGTAACTTGTACACATTACTGTGCTAACCTGTATGCGATATTATTGTGAGTTATATAAATTAACATCGTATATATGTTTGTCACAGGAAGTAACTGAAAAGAAGTACAGAAGATGTTTATGTATTCCAGCGTACATAAAACTTGATTTTTAGATAAATGCGAGGAATGTTAATGAATATAATTTTAAAATTTAAACATCTATGGGATATGATGTTACCGTTTTTAAAATATATCAAGAAAAGTCTCTATGAGAAACGTTACAAAAAAGACTGGCAATGTTTCATGTTTAATGGGTTTAGTTTAACAATTTCCTTAAAAATTAGAATTTAACACTTTTTGTCAAATTTCTCGAATACGGACCATTTTAAGAAAATTATGTGTATGACAAAAATTATAGAGAATAACATTACAAGCAATTTTTATTTGAAGAATTTACTTACTAAGCATAAATAACAGATATATGTATTGTATAAAGTAGAAAAACGACCGTCTATAAAGTACCCCCCAGATTTTCTGACTATGCTTAAAAATTTACCGCAGGATGGATTGAAGCCTAAATTTAAAATTTGGTGTTTTTCTATTTATCCGTTTTTGAGTTTCCTTCAAAATTCGAATTTTACATTTTTTTTAAATATCTCGAATACGCTCCATTTTAGAGAAATTATGTTTAAGGCAAGAATTATAGGAAATGATATCACAAACTACTTTTATTTGAATAATTTTCTTAAAAGTTTGAATTTTTTACATTTTGTCAAATTCCTCCAATACGGACCATTTTAGGAAAATTTTGTATATAACAAAAATTATGGTGAATAATATAAGAAGTTAATTTTATTTGAAGAATTTTCTTTTCCAAATGTAAATAACATATATTTCACAAAGTATAAAAATTACTCTCTTTAAAGTACCCCCCAGATATTTCGATTCTGCCCAAATTCTAATAAGTTCACCGTAGATCGGAATAAAGCTCAAGTTTAAAATTTGGTGTTTTTCTCTGTATCCGTGCATGAGTTATCGAGTATACACATACAGCCATCATCGCGAAAATAGCCAAAATGGATTCAGGGGACCCCAAAACGTAAAAATCCGCCGAAAACTCGAGGTCGAAAAAAAATCATAATTCCTATACTTCCTTAAGTAAAAATAATATCATCATTAAATAACAAGGCCCTTAAATAAATTTTTAAAATTGCACGGTTTCGCAGATAAACATTATTATATGAAAATAGCAAAAACCAATATTTAACACGAGAGTTCAAATCCTAATCTTTGATTTTTATCAGAGAATTTGAACTCTGCCATTTGGCAAACTATTTGTATTTATATATTTTCTTTGTATTAATTAGTTTGGCCAATAAAATCTTAGTAAACTGAAAGTACTGGAAGATAGTGAGTGCAGATTATGTTAGGAAAAGGACGAAACCTCCATTCACATTCTGACTGAATGTGTAGCACTCCAGAATATAAGGGCACTATACTTAGGAGCATAC